AATTTTATTTACTTCATTTTATAATTTCAGCAACTTCACTGAAGAAATTATTAAGCAACATAAGACCTCACAGTGATGCCTACGTGAAACCATTGATTATCATAGATTCTACTCCAAGCTGGTACTGATCCAACTCTTTGGCCTACTGTAAACCCTTTTAATATATTCTAAGCCTGGGGATACTACCCTTTCAGAAGCAACATGTCATGCTTGAGGTGCTTTCTGTAGCATGGGGAAGAGGGAGGCAGTCTCCATCATAGCTTCTTTAAGGACTTAAGACTTCCCTGGAAGGGTTATTCCCATATGCCATTATCATTCTAACACCTGAAGGTTGCCCTTTTATCCAGAATTGAAAGCAAAATGAAAGTAACACAAGTAATAAAATTAAAAAAACAGAACGGGAATGGGAGAGCTACCAGCAGAGAAAGGGATCCTTCAGATCCCCAGGAAAGAACACCACCTTCACCCATCTGACCATTTGGCCTACTGCTATCAACGACCAGGCTACCAGACTCTGACTCACTTCTATGTTTCAACCACCACACTGAGGTCAAAGTCATATATTTGATCCCTACCTGAGTCAAATGGGAAGCCACCTCACTGTCAAAAATGTGCCCAACCTCTCATAAATATCATCACTTGTCCTAAAGGGATTCATGAGAGTGGGTATGAACCAATCCATGCAAATTCATCACCATTACTGGAAAAATAACCAGGAAAACCTGATCCGTGAGTCAGTCCATTGTACAAATTTCATTTAGGAAGAACTCTCTGATGGTCTTGGGGCAGATAGATGTTAAGTAAGAAACCAGGCTCTGGCACTTAACTAGTTCCATGTGTAATCTTGGACACGTTCATTTATCAGAGCCTTATAGATAAAACACATCAAGGGTCTCAAGTAGAATCTGACACAAAAGGGATGTTCACGTGATGTTGGCCCCAGCTCCTCTTAACTTTTAACCTGGGAGTTAAGAGAAGGATGGAGCCAGGTCCACCAGTGTTTCAATCCTGGTTCTGCAACACATTAGCTGTGAAACACTGGGCAAGTGGCGGCCTCATCTTTCTCATAAAGCTGGGATAATGAATCAAAGTATTCAGATAATGCCTGGCATACAGCAAATGCCAATAAGCGGTAGCTACTTCTGTAAATGTTAGTAAGACAAAGACATTATTATCATCGCTATCTGTTGATCAGTGTTTCTCACAGTGTGGTCAGGGAACTATGGATATAAGAATGACCCAGACAGTCTGTTTAAAAAAAAAAAAAAAAAAAAAAAAAAAAAAAAAAAAAAGATCCCAACCTATTCAAAAGCTCTCCTAGAGTAGTGCCAGGTAATATTCATTTCTGAATCAAACTTCCTTGAGATGTATACTAAAATTTAAGAATGAGCGACCCAGTTGGTCTTGTGCTGGGTCACAGTAAATTAAGACTCGCCAGCTAGTACTTAATCTTTACTATGCTAGGAGAATTGCCCGGTACCTGATGTTTTATATTTTGGAAATTCTTTGGAACTAAACATTAAACTGATAGGCTCACTCCTGTTATTTTTTCTTCCCCCCAATGGTACTATTTTGACTTTTTCCCCCACTCCAGCCAGGGGAAGGCAAACTATGGCCTTGGTCTGTGGCCAATTTTCTACAACCCCAACAACCAGAGCAGATGTGTGTTTAAAATGTTGTTGTTGAAAGAAAGAAAGAAAGAAAGAAAGAAAGAAAGAAAGAAAGAAAGAAAGAAAGAAAGAAAGAAAAACATATTCAATGGAGACATTGTGTTGCTCAGGGCATCTAAAATATTTACCGTCTAGCCCTTTACAAAAAGGTTTGTCAACCCCTGATAGTCTATATATATTTTTTTTAACTGCAGATCTCACACAATTTACATGCTTAAAAAATAGTAACAATAAGGGAGAATTAATTAAAATAGAAGATATTCTAGTAGATATATTCTAGTGCACCTAATAGAGGCAAGTACCACTGCCAAAGTTTTTGTTATACACGTATGCATGTGTGTTTATCAGATAATGATCAAATTGAATTTGGCTGTAGTCAAAAAGTAATTTTAAAGTCCTTGAGGGCAGGGGTGGGAAATAAATAGTGCAATCGGCTAACGAGCATTCATTAAAACTCAGAGTAATTTTTACAATAAAGGTGCCTTGGAGAACATAAAAAATCATATAAAATGATCCCTGCTGCTTAGAAGTTAATGGCTTATTCATTACAAAATGGTAATAAAATCGGTTTTGTGTACCATATACACTGTTATAAGGAGAAAATGGAATCATCAATGCAAAGTATTTCAAAAGTATCATACTAAAAAATATTTTAGTTATATTAATATATCATCTCAAACATATGCAGGTTTTTTTCTTACCACCTCCTTAATTCCTAGTTTCCTCCAATCTGGGAAACGAGTCTTTTTTTTTTTCCTTTGTGTGTGTGCATGTGTTATGTATGTGTGTTTGCATGCATGTGTCAGGAGAATAAAAGAAAATGCTTCTGCCCTTTCTGTGTCATCCATTATTGGCTTCTTCTCAATTTAAAATATGCTTTCTTTTACCTTTCTCTTGTTTCTAGCAAGAAAAGCACTTGATTAAATTCTTATGCAAAAAGAACAATAAAGACTATGATCATCTTATCCCTAGCAATACTACAAAGTCCAAAATTAAAATTGTTAAGGTAACAATTTTTCTTCTTCTCTTCATAGGACACAAATTTCCAGGGTATTTGTGATTGTTTCAGGCCAGCTAGAAATACATTAATTTTATAACACATTTGGACAAATTTGCAAAGGAAAGAAACACCTTCCTAGGAACATACTCCAGGAAATAACACTTTAAAAGGTTTTCATTCTACAGAATACACTGCAGACACACAAACCACAAGCAGTGTAAATAAATACACACTGGTGCAATGCTGAAATGCACATCTGTCTTACACCACAAAGAGAAAACCCTTCCACACCACGGTATTTCAGCTTGGGATGCCATAAAGACGGGATTTAGGCATGAAGTGTAAATACAGGAGGCTGCAAATGTGTGTGTGTGTGTGTCTGTGTGTGTTAGGGAAAGAGGGTTGTAAGCAGAAGGGGTGGGACTTGTCAGGAGCAGCTATTTGAGAAAATTCCTTTTTCTTTCCCATTCATTCTTTCCAGCTTGTGTCTGGCACAGTCCTTACAATTACTCACTGGCTTTTCATTCTAAAGACAACCAACAAGCTTTCAGAACTTCCTACAGTGTTTTTCACATACTTTGTTTTTTTAAAAGACACCAAATCATTGAATATTTGTTTTAAATAAAAAGTAAACCATTAGCCCGGTTCCTCATTCCAAAGACCCCATGAGTTGCCGGCTAAACAGGATCCTTTGTTGTGTGTCCAAAAATAACACAACGCGGTATTGGTAAATTGGGAAACAACAGATCACTCCGTTTCCAAGAGTGTCAAAGTTATTACCATAAATTTCGATCTGCCCCAGTGAGTCCAATTCCATGCTCCTTTCAGGGAACATGCGGTCCCAACGGCAGCAAAGCCAATCCAATTGAATACCCCTCGCCTTTTCTCTTTGGACACCCCATTAATATAAGGGCTGCAAGAGGATGCCAAGTGGGCCGGTTTCCTCTACGCACAATGGTATCCGTACAGCGAAATCTCTCCAACCACAGTGAAAGTTGTCTTTCAGATGCCCACCCCACACCGGCCGTCCAGTGCCAGAGAGCCCAGGACGAGAGGGGGCAGCTGGGCAGAGAGCCGTCACCTTTCAGCTCCCCACCTCCCCACCCTCCCCACGAGGGGGAGGGCACGACACGAAAGCAGAGTAGGAAGGTGGGCGAGTGGGAGAGACAGAAATGGATGCTGAGGGGGTGGGCGAAATGGAAGGTAGGCTAGGTGGAGAACGCGGGGAGAGGCGGGTGGGCAGAGCTGCGGGATTCTAGAGCAGAGTCGGGGAACGGCGCG